GTCCTGGTGGCAAATTCACCCTCCCTTCGATGCTTCCACCCCCACACACTGCCTCTTTTCTCCCTCAAAGAGCTCAAAGCTTCGATCAGTGACCACATTCATCAAATTCTCCTTGAGCCACTCAGATCTATCAGAGAGTATGGCACCAGTGCCACCCAATTTTAAGGAAAGCCACAGGACCCTCCATGCTACAGAAGCAAGTTCTGGAGCATGGACCAGGCTTGGAGCCCCTTCTTGCTGTCAGCCCACAATACGGCTATGGTACCTGGCCACTGTCCTTCCTACAAGATTCTCTCTCCCTACTGGGAAGATAATGGGGGGCATTTCTTTAACTAAACAGTATTATAAGACCTATGCAAGAAGGAAAAAAATGAAGCCTGGCTCAGTGAAGGATGTAGTTCATTTAAAAAGTCACTGGAGGTCAGTTTATAGGCTGGGTAACAGCAAGACCAGTACTCATGTCCACTGAGCCTAACTCAGATGCCTATTGCTCAGTGTGCAGTAGAAAAAGGAGTGCTGAGAAAGGAATACAAGGATCCAGAGTCTTGCTGCCTCCAGAGTCTTTCCTCTCACCTCCTCAGGACAGCGAGGGAGCTCACCTAGGACAGTGAGGTAGCTCACCCAGGACAGAGAGGGAGCTCACCCAGGACAAAGAGAGAACTCACCCAGGACAGAGAGGGAGCTCACCCAGGACAGAGAGGGAGCTCACCCAGGACAGAGAGGGAGGTCACCCAGGGCAGTGAGGGAACTCACCCAGGACAGAGAGGGAACTCATCCAGGGCAGTGAAGGGGCTCACCCAGGGCAGTGAGGGAGCTCACTCAGGGCAGTGAGAGAACTCACCCAGGGCAGCGAGGGAACTCACCCAGGGCAGTGACGGAGCTCACCCAGGATGCTTCTGCCTCCCCAGGACTGTGAAAAGGAATAGCTTCTGCCTCATGACAGTGGCCAAAAGCATATCACTTCAGATTATATAGAAACTCTCACTGAGAGGACCAGCCACTTCTGCCTGGGATAAAGGTCTGCTTTTCCTGATCCTCCTGATTTCCTTTACCATGGTATGTCCTCCAATGTGCCCCTGTGGTATATTCCTGTTGTCCTTCCCATTTCCAAGAGACTCAAGAAGTCCCTGGCAGGCTGGGAGAAGGAGAAAGAAAATTCTTCTAGTATGGTTTATAAAAGTATGTCCATTCACCTGCTCACATCTTACCCAGTACAGAGGGGATGGGTGAGGTGTCTGTATGTCGGGGATGGGGCCACCTTAGAATCAGGGTCAGGGAAACCCCACTTTCACCTACATCTGCAGGGCTGCTCTAAAGTCCAGAGGCGGTAAGACCGGTCTTACTGAATCTCAGGGTGCGGAGGACATTGGGTCACTCTGGACTGTCCAACATCCATTCTGTCCCAGCTAAAGTATACTTCTCCCTTTTGGGGACCTCCCTCGAGTGTTAAATATTCTTTGTGGGAGGTACCATTGCCTCCCCAGTGGAAGCCTAAAGGGCCAGAGCCTCCCTTACCCAGTGTGGATTGGGATAGAGAGGACTGGAAAGAGATTATCTGACTTGGCCACAGTGATCCATGAATCAGACAGGGCCTAACACTGATCTCTACTTAGGGTCTGTGTCCTTGCCCTCCCTGGGATACTCCAAGCCATGTTACCCAGTCAGACAAATGGCCCCTTTACCCTGGCTAGGTCCTCATCATCAAGAATCCAAATAGGCTGATGAAGACTGGGTAATACAAAAGAAACACATTTTTATGGAAGCCCCAAATTCACTCCTTACTTCAGAAGTTCTTTAACTCTGACTCTAAAATGTTTTAAACTGTTTTCAAAACAGTACTTACATCTCAATTGAGTCTATTTGGGGGAAAATAATGGCTAGTGGGTGGGAGTCTTTTAGGTGTGAGAGGTGTAAGATTTTATATCTTAATCTGAACAGTGATTCTAAGAGTATAGGCACATGACTCTATAACAGTGTAAAAGTGCTGAATTCTACTAAACTATAAAACTAAATGGCTAAGATAGCAATATTTTATTTTATACATACACACATTATGTATGTTTCTACTTTCTGTTCCTACTATTGTATCAAAAATACCTGAAATAATTTATTTTAAAAAGGGAAGGTTTGCTTTGGCTCCCAGTGTTGGAGGTTTCAGTCCACGGTCAGTTGGCTCTGTTGCTTTGGGGCCTGTGGTGAAGCAGTGTATCGCAGGGAGAATGTGGAACACAGGAAGATGCTTGATTCATTAGAGAGAGAGAGAGAGAGAGAGAGAGAGAGAGAGAGAGAGAGAGAGGAGAGGGAGAGACAGAGAATACAGTGGTCCCACAATCCCCTTTGAGAACATAGCCCCATTGACGAGAGACTTCCACTGCCTCTCAAAAGTCCTGTATCTTCCAATAGCATCAAGATGGAGACCAAACCTTTATTTCACACATGAGCAACAGGAGCCAATCATGACTCAAGCCCTAGCAGTACATTTTACCACCATAAAGAAACCCTCACATTAAAACAGAATTGAAAACACTGCTTTGAAACTACTTCAAGTAATGCAAGATAAACAATAGGATCTATCTAGTGTTGGCATAAACTTAAAAACATCAAGACCTGTGCTCTTTACTATATAAGCATCATCCTGATTAAAACAAGGAAACAGTGCAGTTATAGCCTAATTGATAGAACACTGGCAGCCCAGAGCTTTCCTGATTTCCTGGAGGCACTGGGTATATCATTCTCTGAAGAACTCAGGACACAGTAGCTCAGGCTAACCTAGATCCTGAGCTTTGGAGCAGTTGTTTAGTCTCCTTGCACTGGCAGGTACATATCTAAGTGACTCAGATAATTTTTCCTTCCTGTGCAATCAAAACAAAATGCAAAAATAAACTGTGGGGGGGGGATGACAAAACGATGGAGATAGAATACAGCTCAACAGCTGCCAGGGGTTAGGGAGGTGACGGGGAGTAGTGGCTGAGAAGGGGCACTTCCAGGGGTGGTGGAGTTTCTCCATTTTCAGTGATCATGGTGAGTGGACAGTTCCATGGAGGACTGTTTCCAGGACCCCTTCAGGTACTGAAATCTGTAGATGTTCAACACGGGTATATAAAATGGTGCAGTGTTTTCATACACTGTACTTTCCATGGACTCCCATCTACTTTCCATCATCTCCACATTATGCGTAAAACCTGACACAATGGATATGCTATGTAAATCACTGGTACACTAAGTCATTCAGGGGAAAATTTATAAGAAAAAAGTCAGAACATGTATAATACCAGTGTAATATTTGGTTCCCAAATGCTTTCAATCCATGGTTGAATCTATGAATGTAGAGCCTTCAGATGTGGGTACCCACTATATATGTTAGAGTGTACCCAAAATACCTCTAGTCCAGTTCATCAAATTAGGCATCAATTTCCTGGTTCTAATAATGCACCAGGGTTATGTAAGATGCCACTCTGAGGAACACAAGGCCTTTCTACTAATTTGGCAAGTTCTTATGATTCTATATCAAATTTTAAAAATTTATAAATATAGAAATAAATTAGATGTTGAGGCTTCTCTATGACTGTCACACTCTCAGTTTTGAAATTTTTATGTTTATCAGATTACTTCTTTTAATGATTTGATGACATGGACCAGTAAGTTGTAGCAAATTAAAACAAATGCTTGCTAGTCAAACACAAAGTCCAACTATGTTCAAAACAGAATTCAATTAGCTTGTAAAAGTTATAAATCTCCAAGGTATTAGAAAGAGTATATGGTGGGAGAGGTAGGTGGTGGATCAGTTCAGCACTCAGCTGTCATATTAAGAATGATTACACCCTGTCCCTGCATTAAAAAAGACTTGCTTCCTTAGGAAGTCAGACATCTGTAATGGGGAGCTCACATGACAACGTCAGATGTCCCTTTGTAACATATGGCTAAGTGCCAAATGAATAGTCCTATGAACTAAATTATGTCCCTCAGAATTCACAGGGTAATATTTTGTTCCCTAAAGTGGTTATATTTAGATACAGTGTCTTAAAAATTGTAATTAAGGTTCAATGTGGTCATAAAGGTAAGGTCCTCATCCAATATGACTGATGTCCTTATAAGAAGAGGGGAAAAGGGAGCTGGAGAGATGGCTCAGAGGTTGAGAGTACTTACTTCCAGAGGATCCAGGTTCAGTCCCAGCACTCACATGGCTATTAACAACTATCAGTAACTCCAGTTCCAGGGAATCCAACCCCCTCGTCTGGTCTCCATGGGCACTGTATGCATGTGGTGAATTTATATACATGAAGGCAAAACACTTATACACATAAACTAGAAATAAAATCTTTCCAAGAAAAGGGAGAAAGGGGACAGGGAAGCACACAGAGAAGAAAGTGAGAACAAGTATGAAGGCAGCCACGTGCAAGCCACAGAGACAGCGTGCACCAGAAAACAGACACTTGTAGACTAGACCACGGACCAGAAGTTCCAGAGCTGTGAGGCAGGCAGTTTCTGTTATCTGAACCACCAGACCTTGTAGCATTTTCCTATGGCAAACTAAGGTTATAAGGAAAGTTTTAAAAGTGCTATGATAATAATGGAGCAGGAAAGGGAAAGATGCTTGATCAAAAATAGCTACCTGGTCTTCCACAGAAGGCCTGCTACCTAGTTATAATCAGTGCTGGCTCTCTCTCTGAAGAAGAGTATTCACATATTGAAAAGAAAACAAAAGGGAGCTATCAATCATATGAAAGAGTAGCATGTGCTTCAACGCATGCTGGGATTAAAGGCATGCACCACCATGCCTGGCCTATAACTTTCTTTTTAACACTTCGTCTACACTCCTTTCATAGTAAGAAATCTCAAAACTTTTCAGAAAAAAAAAATGTAGAGTGGAGTCAATGAACCAATTTACAAAAAGAGAGGCAACAGCAGATAGTAAACTTATTTGGGGTTAAGAGACTAGCTCCTCTAACTAGAAGTCTATGATACACCAGCCCCTTGAACCATGACTAGAATTAACTTACCAACAGTGTCACATGGTTCATCTTTGTGAACGCAGAAATCTGTCCTAAAAGGAAAAAAACGAAACAAAACATGGTCAGGTATATGTGGTACCCTGCAAGAATGGGAAAAAGAGAATGCCATGATGAATCTTGATTAGCAGCCCTATATTGTTACTGCATTACCTGTCTCAGGTCAAAGTGATATATTACATTAAACAGTGTTTGCCAAGACTAACCATTCATGCACACACACTATAGTGCACATGTAGAGGTTAGAGGGAGTTGATTCTCTCCTTCCACAATGTGGGTTCCAGGGATAGAACTCAAGTCATTAGGCTTGGGAGCAAATGCCTTTACTCACTGAACCATCTCTCCAGCCCAATAGACTCTTCTCACAGCTGAACTCCTCCATACCTGTTAGAAGGAAACTATCCTTCTAGCAATTGAAAGTAAACCTGGAACGTGTTTTAGTCATTATTAGTGACAATCAGTCAACTTTAGTAATAACCCGAAGCTACTTGACTTGGACAGCAGTAAGAGCCACAGATTACATCTATAAGACGGCATCAAAAAATCATTTCTAAGAATCATTTGTAAAGCTTCCAGAGACTTCCTAGGCACACAGCTGAGGATGAATGAGAAAGCAAAGGTGCTCAAAGCCTGCTCCAGCCTGTGTCCTGCAGGCTCAGTAGGTTCATGGCCACCTCTTGTGCTGAAAGGAAGGGTCAGGCCCTGATTTTCCACCAACAAATGTTCCCAAGCTTCCTTCCACAAATCTCCATGGTTGGTAGCCAACCACAGAGCACTGTGAGGTGAGCATCTTGCTGAAAGCTAGGAGAAGAGAGTGATGGCCCCCAAAGCATTCCCTTATAAGCTCCACGCCCAGCAGGTGAAGAACACCCACTTTCCTACAGCTTTCTGGACACCAAGCCCACATCTACAGATTGGGAAGTCAGGTTCTGAAGCTGCGGCTCCTTATTCTCCTTTAAAAAAATTCTAGAAGGAAGATAGGCCTGACAAGACAAGACTGACACTAAACAAAGTCATGACAGCAAGTGGCAGCCCTGGTCCCAGCTGACCTTCCCTGGCTAACATCACCTTTGGCTCCAGCATTCACTGACCTCCATTGCTCCCCTCTGTCTGCCCATGTCTACTCTCACCAAGATTTGACACATCATTCATACTTGGGATGTCTGAGTGTGTCACTCTCCTGATCTTCTACTTACAATCACCTTTGCTTCTGTATGTACTTCACCCGACTCCAATCCCCAGTGTACCATGTGGATTCCCAGGAGAGAGGTGCAAACTGTGTATACCCAGCCCTGAGCCCACTTTTGCTGAATTCTGATGATCCTACCAGCCCTCTCATGTCCACAGTCTCTGTACCTGGAGGCTTAAAGGCTCTACTTCACATCTTGGTACATAGACTCCTAGGTCTAGGCTGATGGCTGACCGTCTTAGGACAAGGTCACTTTATCAAGCACATTGGACATCCCGCAGGCCCAGAGGGGATGACAGGACGTGTGGCAAAGATGGTAGTGACAGTTTAGAAGGTGAGACAGAGAGAAAGCAGGGTGGCCCTCAGGGACAAATGCATTAGCAACTTAGTGGGTTTTGCTTCTAGAAATTATTAAGTTGTTCATTAAAATATGCATACATTTTATAATCCATTTTGGTCAATTTATTTTAATTTTATTATGTAGTACTTAGCAATAAAATTGTACATAGTTATACAGGGTAATGTGAAATTTTACACTGTGAAATGAATAAATCTAGCTAATGTGCACTCCATGCTCTCACTCATTGTGTTTTTGTGGCAAGACTATTTAAAATACACACTCTCTCAGAGATCTTCAAGCATATGATATGCCACTCTTAAATTTACAATAGATATCTAGAACTTAAAGAGAAAAATAAAAGCCTTTAAGGTTCCCCATTTCTGATGGGAGGGTAGAGCAGAAGAGGGAGGGGTTGGGGAAGACAACTAATGCTAAGGATGTTTGAAAAAGTTGTATGGAGCCCTATTATTTTAGAAGCTTCTTACACACACACACACACACACACACACACACACACACACACACACACGCACAATCGGAGTCACCTGACATGGGGGATAATGCTCTTCCCAGAAGCCAAAGGTTCCCAAGTTAAAAAGCCTAGTGCCAGGTAAGGGATACTTCCCTCCAGAGTTGTTGGTCAAGGGGTGCCCCAGTGAGCACCAAAACAATAAAGTCTACTGCCTGGGTTACCCACCAGAACTTAGTGGTAAGACCCTATTGCTGAAGAGAGCACACACTTTGGTAACAGGACATAGAGAAATCAAGTTGATACTGACCAGGAAGTTTCCTCCCTGTGTTCAGAGTACCAGGAGGTGTTAGGCAGGCTGCTGGCGGGAAAAGTCATCAACAGTCTTACCCCGCAGTGAGCTAAGAAAATGACTGGTGTGACAAGATATGCCCATGGGTGCAATAGTGACATGAATGTTATGGGGTGTCCTAGTCTGCTTTCTATCACTGTGATGAACACCATGATCAAAAGCAACCTGGGGAGGAAAGGGTTTATTTGGCTTCCAGTTCACAGTCCATCACCAAGGGAAGGTACAGCAGGAGCTGGAGGCGGGAAATGAAGCAAAGAACATGAAAGAATCAAGCTTACTGGCTTTCCTCCTTTGTCCAACCTGCTCAGCCCCCCTCCTATGTAGCCCCCACCCATCTGCCCAGGGATGGCACCACTCACAGTGAACTGAGCCCTCCCATATCAACCAGCAATCAAGAAAATGCCCCATGGGCATGCCCAGACCAATCTGATGGATAAAATTCCTCAGTTGAGAGTCCCTCTTCCCAAGTGTCAAGTAGACAACGTTGTGACAAGTTGACAAAAGGCTAACCAGCACAGAGGGTAACCAACTACTTTCTGACTGGATTTAAGGCTGGCTCCACAGGAGAAAATACATACCTGGTATAAATCTGGCCAAGAACCCATGGTTAGGGAGCTCATAAGCCCCATGAGTGAACCTATTACTATTATATTGCTAAATGGGCATAGTGTCAAACTGCCCTCTAAATTTGTATCTCTATATTTATAGTTTAGCAAAGCTATCAAACCACATCAGAAACGTGTCTTTGTGCAGTGGATGGCAGTTAACAAAGAAACTCACAGCTGGTCAAAGTACAGAGAATAGGTGTCTGAGGAATGCTCAGCTACAAATGGAACATCTACACCATAGACCCTATCCCCAAGGCTCAGGGACCAAGAAGAAGAGGCAAAAAGACTGTGAGAGCTAGAGGTAAGGAAGACAGGAGGGAAACAATGTCTTGGACATGAGAGGATGCTGCGGGCATGAACGCAGCAGCTGTGGTGAGCTGTATAAGACCTGCACAAGATCAGCCCAGTCAGCATTCTAGCACAGAGTAGGGAGAGATTCATAATAGCTCCCCTAACTGAGGAGTTATTGACCATTGATGGCTTCCAGGAGAGGGGGAGCCAGTTTTCTTTAAGGGTATGGCCTTTAGTAGTCTGACCATGTTCCAGTGGTTGGGAGGGGGTGGAAGTGGATCTGGGAGGACTTAGTGTGAAGACTGGGGGTTAATACGATCAAAATATATATTTTATGCATGTATGAAATTCTTAAATAGTAAGTTTTAAAAAAGACTCCCCATTCTTATGAAAAATAAAAGCTTTTATTATAATGACCATATCCCTAAATCAAGGAAACAGTAGAAATGAAGTGGGGTTACCCATCTCAAGTGGTCAAAACAAGCCTCCTGTCCTCATTTTGCTGTCAGGCTCCCTGTTAGAAGGCTACTGAACAGGAAGCAGAAGGACTAAGGAGAAAATTCATCATGAGTTCATGGGAGGCTGACTGAATACAGAGGCTAGCATAGGTGTCCCAGTGTGACCCTCAGCCAATCCAGTATGCTTGCTTGGGTGTCTCCCTGGTGTCTTCTGCAGAAGTGCAGAGCTGGGCTGGGGGAGGAATGTTGAGTGCCTGGCCTCTTGATCAGGTTCGAAGCCAAAGGTAAAGTCAGTAGGACTAGAGCCCCAGTCCTCTGTGGCCCCATTTGACCTCCAGTTGCAGTCCACTGGGTGGCTGTCTCTAGCCTAGACACATACAGCTGCAGAGAAGCTGGCCTTTGATGCTCCTGTTGGCTGTGAGATATTGCTCATATCTTCCATGGCAGCCACATCTGTCCAGGAGAGCAGCACTCAGGCTCAGTAATAGCCCAAAAAGGGAGAAAGAGAAGAGAAATCTTTACACGGGTGAGTTACAAGCACAGGGCACAGGGATACTGTCCTCCTGAACACTGCTAGACTGGTGTAACCTCCCATTAGATACTTGGCTAGAGTTACTCTGGGGAGAAAGGATGCTCCTCCAGAGCAGCTGCTGCCTTGCAAAAACCTTCCTTGCAAAATGTCAGCCTGTTATTATCTCAACCTCAGGACTTGCAGCCCTCAGCTTCTAATTATGAACCAGGCTGCATGGCCAGCTCATCTTCTGCCCACTCCAACACTGTCTCCCTTTCCTTGCCGGAGTCTCTAAGCCACCAGCAGTGAGGACTCAGAGGATATGTCCCAGCACTGATCCAACCATTCAGCAACTCCAGAGAAGCAGAAGCCCAGGCTCAGGACCGCTCAGGTAGTTCTGAGGTATCAGCATGAAATGGAAAAAGAAGTGTACCTCTGAATATGTGTGTGTGTGTGCATGTGCACCCATGTATAGGTGTGGACATACATGCATGTAGAGGACAGAGGTCAACATTGAGGTTTTGTTTTTCATTTTTTAATTTCTTTCCACCTCATTTTTAAAAATAGAATCTCTCACTGAACTGGAAGATCACCAACTGGACTAGATTGGCTGGCCAGCAAGTCTCAGGGATCCTCCTATCTCTGCCTCCCAGTGCTGGGATTACAAATGTATGCCACTGAGCCCAGCTCTTTTACATGGATTCTTGAGAATTAACTCAGGACTTCATGAATATATGGCAAGCACTTTACTAAACCAAAATAGCCTCCTGGTTGGGTTTTTTTTTGGGGGGGGGGCAGAGTTAAGGCACGGTCTTACATGGCCCAAGCTGGCCTCAAACTCACTATGTAGGCAAGGATGAGCTTAAACTCCTGATCCTCCTGCCTCTAGTCCAAAGTGCTAGGATTACAGGTGTGTACTGCAGTGCCTTGCTACAGGTACTTTTTATAAAAGAGCTAATTCAAAAGTTGCATTAAATCTGATTGTGATGACATTTCTTGCCTTTGGACAAAAACACTTTTCATTTTTCATTACAAGGTCTCTCCCAATCTCTCTCTCTGTCTCTCTCTCTGTCTCTCTCTCTCTGGAGATCTATCATATACTTTGATTAATACAGTTGATGTATTGTATACTTGAAAACTGATATGTATATCTTAAATATTCTTACCATGGAAGCATAGTTGGGAAAATGGATATATTGTAGACATGTTTATTAACGTCTAATAAAAGAAAACAGCAGGAAAACCAAAAACTTTCTAATATAGGAGAAAAATACCCTAAGCTAATGATATTTTAACAAACACCAAAACTCATACTTTTTTTTTTTTTTTTTTTGGCCTTTTTGAAACAGGGTCTCTCTGTAGCCCCAGCTGGCCTGGAATTCACCATGTAGACCAGGATGGCCTTGAACTCAGATTCACCTGCCTCTGCCTCCCAGTGCTGAGATTAAAGGCATGCGCCACCACACCCAGCCCAAACTCATACTTTTTATACAGGGTTTATAAAAGCCACTTTCACAAATTAGGAACACAGGAAGCTTAGCTGCAAATTCTAATGGTGAGGTTCTTTAAAAGAAGTTAATATCTAGACAGGGCTTTTAGACTTAATTTAACTATCATGTAGGAAATAAATCATATAATTTATGGTGATGCCTAAACACAACTCCTCAGGACTACTTGCTCACCAAGTTAGAATCTACTCTCGAAACATGCTTCCTTCTCTTCATCACTGCAATCCTTAGGGTTTTTTTTTTTTAATAGAAAGCTCCTTGGGCTCCAAAATGCCATTTCCAAGTGAGTGACAGCAACCTCTGGATAGTGAGGATGGGTAGCCAGCACTCTCGGGGAAGGGGCACCTGGATACGCCCAGCACTCACTGGAGGACAGAAGGACAAGTTCAGACATACAACACAAATGTGGCTAGTGACCCAGCCACAGCCCCAAAATTATTGAACTGAAGTTTCCAGATCTTCCCATTATACATTTACTCACATCCCACATAAGCAGCAAGTGTTCTCACAAGGGACCAGTATGCCACAGAGCACATTTCAACCCTAGGGGCTGGCAATTAATGAATCCTCTATGAGAGAAATTAGGTATCTGTTTGAGTACAGCAGTGGCAAGGTATATGTTATGGGTTTATGTGTGTGTGTGTTATATGTATGTGTGCGTGGTATGCACATGTACAAGTGTGTTTGTATGTGTGCACATGGGAGGGGGATATGCCTGAATGTGTTTGTACATGCACATGGAGGCCAGAAGTTGATGGCTAGACTCATCCTTGATTGTTCTTCCTCTTTACTCGTTAGGTAGGGTCTCTCAATCATACGCAGAGCTCATTAACATGGCTAGTTTCACCAGTCAGCTTGTTTTGGAGATTCCATCTTTACCTTCTGAGAGTGGAACTACAGGTAGGCTGCTATACTCACTAGGCATTTATGTGGGTTCTGGGGATCCCAACTCTGGTACTCACACTTATAGAGCAAGTGATTTAACCACTGAGCCACTCTTCACCCCCAATTACAGACTTTTCTACATGGGTTCTAGGGATTGAATTCATGCCTGTGCAGAGAGCACTTCACAAACTGGGCTCTCTTCCCCATGTTCTGAATTTTTTTTAAAAGAAAAGGGCACTGCATCAACTGGTATCAGAACCAGAAGTTTATAGCACATGGCCTAGTAAACACAACCCAAGAGCCAATATTGACTCAAAACAAAATGTTAAATAGGACTGAACTTTTCTTGGCAAGACAGGCTTTCTTTAAGCTAAAAATAGAATAAATTCTTCCTTCCACAAATTTACTTCAGATAGGAAAATAAAACATGACATTTGGAAATTTCTTTAAATTAAAAAAATGTAAATTTGTAAAATTGAAATGTGATACATCAGTAACAACTCTAATTAAATTTATGTATATTTAATCTAATGGAATCAATTAAGAAATATTTCTGCATTTTTCTAGAGAGGAATTTGGGTGTGAACACATTACAATTTTATACACATCATTAAAGCAAAGCAACCAGGCATGGAACAAGAGAGATGGGGAAATGTCAGAGATACGTCTGTGTCTGTGGTGCTTTCAATAGTGTCCCCAGAACGGATAGGGTGAAGTGCCTATGAATGTAATTTTATTTGGAAAGAGGGTCATTGAGGATATAACTCAGTTAAAATGTGATCACAGTGGGTTACGGTAGAGGTCCTAATCCAAAGATTGGTGTACTTTTACAAGGATAATCTGTATGCAGACATAGGGAGAAGGCCATGTGATGGTGATCTTCCTATGAGGTTTTCCACAAGCCAAGGCCTGCCAAGGGTGGCAGTCACCACCAGAAGCTAAGAAGAAAGGAATCCTCCTCCCCCAGAGGATTTAGGGAAAGTGGGGTCCTGCCAACACCCTGATTTTGAACATGTAGGCAGGCTCCAGAATGTAATGGAGTAAATTAGTACTATTTGGGGTCACCTATTTGTAATCACTGGCTGTAGTCACACTAAGAAATTACAGCAATGCAGCTGCTTGCTGCTTTGGAGGCTATCCTGGACTTTTGATGTCCACTGTGAGGCTCCTCAATCTAGAAGCACAACCCTAGTTCTACAGCTGAGAAAAAAGCCACACCCCTGCTTCAAACAGAGTCTGCGGGTGACTTCCATGAGCATCCAAACCAGTGAGTTCTCTAGGGGTCTGCATGGTCCTGTCAAAGGCCTATCCTACAAGGCTTTTCAGGTCACCCATGGGCTCACCCAGAGCTCCTCCCACAGGCAACTCACAGTGTCCACTCTCCTCCATAACAGGAGACCAAAGCCAGTCCACAGCAGCTTTGAACCCCCATCAGCTCTTGTTTCATCAGCTTGCTATTTGGTGGGTAGTAGAGAATTAGTTGAATTCTAGGAAGTTGTAAATCTCCTGTTACTAAAACTCCAGTATTCCTCTACTACTGACAACAGGACCAATGATAGCTAAACACTGTAAACTAGGCGCTGCTTGCAGGCAATAGCTCTGTACAGCCATATCAGCTCTCAGAGGCTGAACCTATCAATAATCTCCATGTTACTAGCAAGGAAACTGAAGCCAAAGCAAGTAGACAAAGGCTTGATTTCCAAGTACCGGTTCTTATTATGCTCTCAAAAGGGGAATGTCTTTTCCTTCTTGTGTGTCAGCAACAAGCTGGCTCCAGCTTTACCTGGTCACAAATACAGCGGCATCCACAGGAGGTGTATCGTCCTTCCCTCCTGGCACCTGGTTGTTGCCGAGATACCGCGCTCCTCTGTACTCCTCGTTCTGCCAGTGACAGAAGCTCTCCAGGGACCGTTCACCATGGTGCCCGATGGACAACTTGGCCTGAAAGAAGTTGAGGGGTCCAGTCAGAGACAGAGCGATCTGGGCAGACAGAGTTATTATATAGGAGAGAGATGCTCACAGAGATGACATTTGATGACTTATGCTCTGAGATAAAAGTCTGAATCCAGAAGATGTTCAGGAAATGCCAAGAGGGATCTCATCAATGCATTCAAATGATGACTATGTCATTAAAGAAAAGCAATCTACTTCTTGGGTATCAACAGGCTATGAAACCAAACACATCCCCTCAATCTCCCATCAACTGCTTTGCCTTGCAGGTAGCACTGGTTTGTGGGGCTGTATGGCAGTTCCTCTGAAAAGGAACATTCCCTCTAAGAGGGAAGGTGAGGCCCATGAGACTAAGCAGGTAAACAAAAGGTCACATGTCTGGGAAAGCAGAAACTTTGGAAGACTCTCCTCCCAGATTTATAAAAAGATTGAACAACTGCTGGAGGAAGGAGTCTGCAGAGGAGAGATGCTCCTGTCCAGCTACCTGCAAGCTGTGCAGAGAGCTCTAGGGTTGTAGCTTTCCTGCTGGTGGGCTTATGGTAATGCAGTTGCTTTTAAGTTATCCCTACTCCCTGCAGTAATCCTGCACCCATTCTCCTGTGTCACTAATGGTAACAATAAAAAACTTATTGCTTCACCAAGTGGACACTGGTGCAATCATTACTTTGGTCTGTCATGGGTTCCCTATCTGGGATGAGTAGATAACGTCTGTACCTCCCCAGGAAAAGGTCTGCCATATAACAGGAAGGCACTCGTTTGAAAAAGCAGGAACAAGGATATACTGAGCCCAAGTCGGGCAGAAGTTCCAGGAGGTAAGTCATGCTTCTGAGAGCCTCCTCCAGCTTTGCACACATATCTGAAAGCCATATGCAAGACCTTCCCAGAGTGGAATGAGATGAGCCCACAGCTCAGGGTTTGCTTGAGATTCTAAGCAGTTTGCATACCCACCATGATGTGATCCCAGACACTCTCTTCCTCTCACACTGGTGCTACCTGCAAAGCCAGGAGGGTGAACAAGCTAGACAGTTGCCTGAGCCCCCCTCAGCCATCGCAGCAATGGGAAGCCTTGACATTAACTTCTCCACTTGCTCTGAAAGGTGCCCCTGGGGACTTACTGGGCGTTGCTGTAGCAGGACAAGCTTGGTGACTTGAATATTAATTTTAATCCCAAGGCTCTGGTGCTGAAACATGTTGTATACCTAACAAGAGAGAAAAATAAAAGGCATCATGTTTAAAATACAGTGGTGTTCTGGACGGAGATTTGGACTAATGCCTGATAACCCAAGCTGAATCCCTAAAACACACATATAAAGAAGATGGATACACATCTGTAATTCCAGGACAAGATGGGAGGCAGAGGCAGGAGAGGCACCTGGAAGTATGCAGGCCATATAGGCTGAATTGTGCAGTGCAGCAGAAATGAGAGGCCCTGCCATAGCAAAGTGGAAGGTGAGCATCAGACTCTTGAAAGTTGTCCTCTGACCTCCACACATGACTGTTTGAGGGTTAGAAATGACACAATGACACCAGGCTATCTCTCTCTCTCTCTCTCTCTCTCTCTCTCTCTCTCATTAAATTAATCAATAAATACTTTTAGAAGAATTCATACTCCATTTCAATATATATAATAGAAAATTCTGGAATCACACACCTGGGCATATGTACATTACACCCAAAGGCAAGTGGGAAACCAGTTAGTCTTTTTAAAAAGTGCAATACAGGGGCTAGAAAGATGGGTAACAGTTAAAAGCACTTTCTGTTCTTTCAGAGGACCAGAGTCCAGTTCCCAGCACCTATGTGCCTGTAACGTCACAACTGCCTATAACGCCAGTTCCTGGGAATCCAATCTACTCTTCTGCCCCTGTGGGCACTTGCACACATGTGGCAATACACACACAAACACACACACACACATATATGAATTCATATATATACATATATATATATACACATATGAATGTTAAATGATTCTGAAAGTCAAATTTCCTACCACAGGCTTTCATGTAGAGGGACAGCAATTAGGGAGAGACAGACACCTGTACATGCCAGCCTGATGTCATTTCTAACCCTCAATCCCATCCTCACTGTAGAAACAGGCTCATGGAGATAAAGACACTTTTTGAAGACTTAGAGCCAGTTAGCAATGCCCTGATTCAAAGTCACACTCATCCAGCTAAAATGCCCACCTCTTCCTTTATTCCCCGAAGTCCTACTTCTAATCAAAGTTTGACACTGAGACAAATCATAGTAAGAGAAAGAGATATGTCCTCTCAGTTTTGCCCTTGTGGTCATTTGAGTGCCCCCCCCCACAAATGCCCATGCATAAAGATCTGGTCCCCAGGGAGGTTTTAGTGGGATTTGGGCAAAAGAGGAGGCTATGAGTCGCCAGTCTTGCTCTATCCCCCAGCATCACCATTTCCCACCATTGCCATCTGGTTCCTTTACCAAACTCTAAAGCAAGTAGATCTGCCAGATCTTGAACTTGAGCCTCCAAAACTGTGAGCCCAGTAGAACTTTTCTTTTTATAGACTACTTAGATAGGTCATTGTAGTGACACAAGACTGACTGAGGTACAAAACATCTCTCTCATTGGTAGAAGTTAATTATAAGGACCTCACCATCAAGAAGTCCTAGGAAAGTCTTCTGATGGGAAGAATGAAAGGAAAAATCAAATAAAGAAGAGGAATCAAGGTTGATGGGAACAAAGAAAGCCCATTGTATGTGAGGCTCCCAGGTCAGCATGCCTTGACCAAGTTCCTTTCCGGTACTGTAGCAAAAGCAAGGCTCTAAGAGGTTGGGTAGGGACAGTGCAAAGGGTGGTCATAGTTTCAGGATATGGAGGTGACAAGGATGAGAATTTTTTGAACATTCTACTTGGTTTTAATTCAGACATAATCTGGATGGGATATTTTTCTACTGAGAGCATTCTCCCCTCGGTGCTGAGCTCCTACTCTGAATTCAACAGCAGCAAAGCCAGGGTCAGCTCAGGCCAAGTGTATCTGGTCATCCACACACCACTGAGTCTGCAAGCCTGGCCAGCACAGACTGTAAGCATCTGTGTGACACAGAATTAGCTGTGTTACAGCTTGGCCCTTATGCACCAAAAGCTGCTATTATGTTAAATTAAATTTATCTTTGTGTAACTTGATATTCTTTCTCACAAGAAGATAAATAGGACATATTCACGTACTCTGTTCTTAGCACATGCCCACCCCCCCAAAAAAAATCCTGTCCCAAAGTACAAAATAACTGTCCTTTTTTCATGCTGAACCATCTATAGGCCAATTCTGAAGTCAGTCCTTCATCATCTATCCCCAACCTTGAGGGAAGAAGGGAAGAACACAAAATGTTTTCCATGTTTGGATATTTCAAGAGCCACCCAATGATTCTAACTCAGTATTTTTTTTTTTTATTTTGCTGAAACATCAGCACAAGAATTGGGCCTGAACTGGTACACATCAGTTCCAAACATGAAAATTCAGAAGAATGAAAGCTTGACGTTATGAAGGAGAAAATTCAAGTTGCACAGGGTTTGGTTATAAGAGGCCGTCTAAGCAATGTGTGTGGGCTACGGGTGTGGCTCAGTGGGAGAGCGTGTGCACAGCATGCAGGAGGGCCTAGGTTCCATTGCCAGCACCAAAAAATAAAAATAAGTCAATACACAATACCTATAATATGACCACCAGTCAAACATTAAAGACATTCAAGAATAACATAGGTTTTAGGAAGTGGTATCCAGGCCTGAGAGACAGCTCAGCAGATAAAGGCACTTGCCTCCAGGTTAAGCCTGACAACCTGAGTTTGATCCTTGGAACCCACGTGGTGAAAGGAGAGAACAGGCTCTTTTAAGTTGTCCTCTGACTTTTACACATGCACTGCAGCATGTGTGTGCACATGAGCACACACATACACACACACAATATCAATCAATCAATCAGACAATAAATAAATAAGGAACTGGAGAGACGACTCAGTGCTTAAGAGCATTTGCTGCTCTCGCAGAGGACTTGGGGCCAGTTCCCAAAACCCACATGGTGGCTAACAACTGTTTGTAAATCCAATTCCAGGGGATTTGATGCCCTCTTCTGGGCATTGCATGCATGTGGTGCACTTACATGTAGGCAAAACACTCATACACATAAAATAAAAATAAATCATAAAATGAAATAACCAGGCATGTTGGTGTATGCCTTTAATCCCAGCACTGGGGAGGTAGAGGCAGGTAGATCTCTGTGAAATTGAAGCCAGCCTGGTCTACATAGGGAATTTCCTGACCAGCTGGGGCTACAGGGAGACTCTGTCTCAAAAATAAATAAATAAAATGATGTGAAGTCAGACATGATGGTACACACCTATAATCCAAGTACTTAGGAGGCTGAGACAAGGAAGTCAAAAGTTCAAGGTTAGCCTGACATATAGGAGCAGATACACCATGTGCCCTTGTCTCAAAAATTTTAATTAACTACTTAAATAAAATAATAATAATATGGTGAAGCACTCCTCAGTGATGTTCTGCATGGACAGAGAATAAAGAACCTGCAGGGAGTGACTATGAGCATCAGACAGAACAATATCACAGGACAAGCTCCACTGTGATAATCATCCATTGGCTCCTCACCAGGCTGAGATTAGTCCGGGACCACATGCATCCCATGCTTTAAGGCTCACTTGCTTCCCTTGGAATGGATGCACAAAAGTATGATGTGAGATGGAAAAAGAAAATAGCTTCAAGCTCTGGAGGCTGGGAAGAGGGTAAAAGAGAAAGGTCAGTGTATCAGTTCTGTAAAATGGGACTTTCCTGGAGGCTGGTCTGGATAACGGGGGTGAACATACTTAATACTACTGAACTGTGCACATACATGGTTAAGATAGTAAATTCTATGTTATATGCATTTTATCACAATTAAAAGAGTAATTCATTTTTGAAAGCTTCAGCTAGCAGAGCCTATCACAGCTATCACTGTCACTTGATGTTCACTGACCACTCACTCACGGAGCTTCGAGGGACACAGGGCAGGGCAGAGCGGCCACATGATCTCTCTCCAGGGTTCTCTGTATGCCAAGTGAGCCAGATAAACATCTGACAACAGCCACAAACCAGGGTACAACCTTGGGACAACAGTCAACCTACCCTGTCTCTTTTTCCCATGGAAATTCACGCTCAGGGGATGCCAAGGAGGCAGCAGTGCCTGGTGCTCAGGGAGACACCTGGCTGGGCATGGTGCAGTGCAGCCAATTGTCTGGAAAGTCTGTCCCCAGTGTCCAGCTCTGGCTGTGTTCCAGTGAGTGTTCAGAGCCCTAGCTTCCTTTGTCACATTTCCTTGGCAGCCTGCGGGCTGAGCAGGTGAACGCTTTGCCAACAGCAGACTGGAAGTCTCCCAGCCAGGCAACTTGGGGACACAGAGGTGAGGTGGGTGGCAGACAGGGACCATAGAAGGAGCAGGAGATGGGGACAGATGGGGAAGTGATGTTTCCCACATCAGGCAGGATTTTCAGAAAGCTGCCACTGTCACCTGGGTGAGCCAGAGCCTGCCAGGGAACCCATACATCACCACTGAGACTCCTACATTCTCTAGCACAGTGCCTCTGAGGGAGGTCCTGGGTGTGAGTTGCAAATAAGCCTCCCAGACCCCCTGCATCAGAGACTGGGGGTGGCCTGGCCATGTGTGTTGGAGTCTCCTGTGGCTCCTGATACCCGCTGGAGTGTGAGAATCAATGAGCTCTCTAACCCTGGGTCCATTTCAGGGGTAACCAGAAAGAGGCTTATTGTCTGTTTTATATGGTAATAGTGAAATTGATGTCATTTTTCCTGCAAACAGCTTGCCTGGATCGTCTTGGGTTTTCATACCACTCCACGGTTGTTAAGGAAGCAAAGAACAACCAAAGCTCTGTCAGGTGGCCCTGCTTTCCAACTTGGCTGCCTGGCCCAGCACTTCTGGTGCCACACCACCTGTTTCTGTCTGCAATTTGTTCCTTAAAACGCTCCTGCTGTGGTGTCACCTCGGGACCCCCACCCAAGGAGAATCAAGTCATATATATGTAGAAGGCTGTGCAACACATCTAGAAAAATCACAGCAGCCCACCAACACCCTGAGCAGTGTGGGTCATCACAGACATCTGAACTGGAGGTCTCTGCACAGGCCTCTGGAGACCCAGACAGGAGCAGGAATCCATGCCCCCATGTAAGAGCCAGGAAGAA